GGTCTCCCCAGGATGACGAGATCGAGCGGGAGCGAGCGTCCCAGCGCCTGTCCGGGGGCTGCTGTGCCCTGGCTGCCGTCTACCTGATGGGCAAGTTCTACGTGGCCAACGCCGGCGACAGCAGGTACGGCCCCACCGGGCAGCCCCGGCCCTTCGCCCAGTGATGGGGGAGCACCCGGCTCCATCCCCGGCCCTGGGCTGTCCTGGGGAGGGCAGAGCCACCCCTGCCCGCCTACGCGCTCCGGGGACAGCGTGACCCACCGTGATCTCTGCAGTTGCCCGGTGCACAGAGGGGGCTGCAGGATCTGGGACTTGCTCCCTTCCTTCCCGGCAGTGTCCCGTCTGCTTCCCAGATGGCTCTGGATCACACCCCGGCCCCTGCTGCTGACACTGGCCCAGGCTGAGAATTGGGGAGTGAAAATTGCCCTCAGCAAAGCTTTCAAAAATGTGCAAGAAGTCATTTTAGGGCACACTTTATACCAGTGAACTGTTCCAGGAGAAGGACATGCAAATCTGTGTACGGATGAATCCTGTGAGAGCTTGGAGCCCACGGATTTTGACCGATACACGCATTTCCTTGGGCTGCTGTAACTGTGCGTGGGTGTGCTCAGCCCCCGGGCAATGGCAGGAAGGCAAGTCCACCTTACACTGAGGCTCAAGCTCTTTGAATTGCCCTGTATTTGCTGCCGGGTTAGCTTGTCCCCGCCAGTATCAGGCCAGAAAATACAGGTTCTGCAAATTGTCTCCGGCTGGAGAACGTGCTTCCAGCTCTGGGACAGAGGAAGAGGAGATCCTTCGTGCCTCCGCTTTTGGGTGTGGGGTCCCTCCATGGCAGCAGTGACCAGGCGCTGGCCGTGCGGGACGGCAGTGTGTGCAGGGTCCCCAGCCTGTAACCCTGCCTCTGGCTGAGGGTCTGTGTTGGAGATCCTCAATTCCCCCCATCACCTCCAGAAACATCTCATAATCAGACTCTTATTTTTTTCAACACGCCAAACAATCAGACCGGCCCCAGCAGCGAGGCGCAGTGCTGGCGTGGGCCGGGCGCTTGCACCCGTGTCCTGCTGCTGGTGGTTTCTGCTGGTCCCGTGTGCGGCTCCCCTCTAAAGGGGGGTTCACCACCTTTGTGCTGCTCCTTTTCTAACCATATTCTGTCCTTTGGTTTGCTCTGCTTCATTCCCCTCTCTCTGCCATTTTCTCTTACTCCCTGCCCCTGTCCTGCGCAGGAGGGATGCGTGCCCTGCCTGCCCTGCCCGCCCGGCAGGGCAGGCAGGGCACG